AGGGAAAGATTATGGCTTTCGTAATCTTGCACCCACACACATATATATGCTTTTTTGCTACTTCTATATATCTGTACATTTTATATGTATACACACACACAAGTAAAGTGTGGGCAAAAAGCAGACTGAATAAAACAGAAAACCTATGGACAGAACATTAGGGGTTACCAGATGTTTTGTCAGTGGGAATGGCTTCACTGATTGCCTTGCCAGAGAAGATGACAACCAGCTACTTGGCCACTTTCTGTCCACAGAGATTCTGTTTTGAGAGAGGCCAAGAGCGAAAGAGAAGTGGAGCTGGCAGCTCCTTCTCTGGGAACTGGTCTTCCCACTGACTGTCCTTCCATTCCCTCTGTGCCAACAGCAACAACAGCTGTAAGATCAACTTTCCAGGGTTTTTGTCTTAGGTCACAATTCCAGATTAATTGTTTTGACATTTCTGTGTGACACCAGCAGTTAATTCTGCCTATGCTACTGGGACTCCGGTAGCCACATCTGTGCTACTGTAAGATTGCTGAACTAATAGATGAAGTATTTATTTTAGTTAACATAAATATAATCGATAAATAATAACAACAACAACAGCAGCTTAACTATGCAACTTATTGCCATAGGATGAAGTGGATAACAAATGTTTGCATGGAATCAAAAAGGAAATAGGCACATTAATTGGAGAAAAAAATCAAGGTTGTATTAAATACAGAGCTATTGCTTCCATATCAAGAAGCTCCTGAGTGACAAATTGATGAAAACTCGGGAAACATACCAGAAATTTTCCATATGCCTGTTTTTATCCTCCTAAGGCATCTGCCTCTGTTAGAGACAGATTAGTGGAGATCATGGGCCTCTGATAAGACCATTGCACGTTTATGTTGTTAATAAATAGAGGACCCTAAATCTTCCTGATTTTTCCTCTGTTACGCACACATGAAGCATTTCTATATGCCTGGCCTTAAAAAAAAGATTTATCAAGAAAAAATGTGGACCTAAAACATGGCAGGGGGGTTGCAACTAGATGATCTTTAAGGTCCCTTCTAAACCAAACATTCTGTGATTCTGTTATCCTATGACAAATAAAACCAATATGGAAACTTTTATGGCACAAACCAAGTATACATCAATCTTACCACTCACACGAGGTCTTAACGTTAAAAATAGCTGTTGAGTCCAAAACAAGTCTGAAAATAACTTTTCTGGAATCCAGATTAGGGAAATTATCTAACCCAAATGAAACCTGAGCGCCCTGCAATGCGCTGGGCAGACCGGAGGCAGAACACCCTGGAGAGCTTCCGAGAGGGAATTATCAGGAAAAATAATTTCCGGTCTTGCAAATTCCCAGTGTTGACGAAGTGGCAACTTACTGGATTCGCAGTGTTTCCCAGTGAATCCTGGCTCACAGAAGCAAGCGCCGGTGACCGGATCACAGCTACTGTCACTGTTATTGCAGACACACGTGTTTTCACAGCGCTGTCCCCAATGGCCACTATTGCAGGCTGCAACGTAAAATGGTATTTACATTGAGAATTGACTTTGAGCTCGCCTAATGGATTATTTTACATCTAAAGGAGAGAACAGAAAAGATGCAAAATAGACCCTTTTGACACAGGAGCTCTGGACTAGGCTCTCAGCTGCAGCATGGGGCACAAAGCAATGGAAATAAATACAATTTTGGACTATTTATTTCAGCTGAAAATAGGCAGATATTATGCCATCTACATAAAGCTAATCATTTATAGTCAATCCATATCAATCAATCCATGGTCACAAATGCATAATTTCATGGAAATAAAATATCAGCTACTGACTCACTTAGCAAAAACCTGCATAACCAGAATAGCTAATAAGTAAAACAAGACAGATTTGTGAGCATCCTCTATATTTTCCTCAAAATACTGGGAAATGCAACAGGGCCAGACAAATCTCAGAGTCTTTGTTAAAGCAACTTATTCTAAAAATCACATAACAGTGACACGATTACGACAATGTACCACAGCATCTCTTCCCTTTCTTGTAAGGATATAGATGAAAGTGCTAATTAGGGCAACAGAAACCTGCTTTTGGAGTTGGGCATCTGTTTCATGCCTGGTCTGCAACAGGCGAAGAGCTGCCATCCTGAGACATCTCTGCAAAACAACTTTTCTCATATCTTTTCCTGAATAGTAAGACAAGCTTTTCTTTGCCATGGTCTCTTGATTCTTTAGACAGCCTAGGGAGTTACGGAAAGCCATCTAAATGGCTCTACACATTACCGGCTGGTTTGATTTTTAAAATATGCATATTGGTGGAAAGTTCAGATTTTCCCAGAGGTTTCTTCAGTACTGAGCTTGAGAATCCAGGTCCAAAACTTACTGCTGTCAACACCGGCAACTGGTTTATATGATTTTATGTGTTTAAGACCAAGTTTAGAAAGAGGTTTGTATTCTGTTGGCTTTTTGCAAGAGGGATCAGAATGAATCAAGCAGAAAAGACACGAAACAGGAAAAGGAAAGAATAAAGCAAGATGGCTTAACATTTATATGGTGCTATCCAAAAAAAGGCAAATCTGCACTCTTACATGGCTATCAATATGGAGAGCGATGCTAGAGTCAACAGAAGGATCCTCTGCTCTTCCAGAGAACAGAATTTCTCCCAGCACTTATATTCACAAGTTAAGAAGTGACCTTAAGACACATGACTGTACATGCCACTCACTTGTTGAATAAATCTCCCCAAAACAAAATGAAAAATTGAGAATTAATCTTTAAACTAATCTGCAGAGAAAATGAAAAACAAATCTGTCTGTCAGTCAAAATGCTGACAGGACAGATGGTATTGGGCAAAAGGATCTATAGTGTTGAAGTAAGAGCTTATATCAATACTTTGCGCTTCATCAGCCATCTATTTCAATACTTTGAACCTAGATAATTAAGGATTATAACCACCCAGGCTGTGCAACCCATAAACACACAATTTCAGAAGCAATAAGATTAGCAAAAGTATATTAAAAAACTGTAATAGACTAAGAACAAACAGAGCTGGTTCTTACATTTGCAGTTAAGTCCCTGGGAGATACTGTGTGCCCTGTGGAACAAATACGCATTTGACTTACGGTGTTTGCAGTCAGGACCAGTCCAGCCAGGGGAACATGTGCACTCTCCAGTGACATGGTGACACTGAGCACTGCTGCTACAGCTGCATAACAGCAGGCAGTTTTGTCCGTAGTAACCATCAGGGCAGGCTGTAAACAGATGAACAGACTGCAACTTCACCTAGATAATAATTCAGGCACGGACTGATCTTTTCAAACAAGACAGCAACAGCTTGCCCCCTTAAACATGCATTATCTGAATCCAGAAATCAAAACAGTAAAATGAAAGAAACATCTGTAATTTGTATACTAGGTGTCTGGGGCTGAGTCCTGTAGAGGGGGAATAGCTTGAGTGACTTTTGGGTACTTCTGCACGTTAGGATCAATCAGTGGAAGGAAAAAAGTGTGCTAAGCACAGCTTTGTCAAAAGCTATTTTGCTACTAACAAGGAGAAAAAAATATGCCACCAGTGAGGTCTTGCATGAAGCAGTCCTGCCCCGAGAGCCTGTCTATACTGCCAGCACGACAGCCATACCCAAGCAGCCTTTAATACCAATACACTGGGTATGGACTCATGCCCTGGTAGCAGAGGCCAGTTGCTTGAGCATATTCTCATGGTCTGTGGTGGATCTGCAGAGTTAGCACTGATACTACTCCTTTGTCCTCACTACTATTTGATCCCAAGATCCTAAATTACATACATCTAGGAGTGTTGCTGCAAACCTAACCCAAGAGTGATGCTATATGGGCCAATTGGTCAGCACCTCTCACCAAGCAACCAGGATTGTAACGTAAGTATTGTGGCTATTAAACTTTGTATTTCTAAGTAAATATTGCCATAAATTAAGTCTAATGATAACATTGATTTGCAATGCAATTTAGCTGGTCATCTGCATTTATCTGCAATCTCCCTCTGGAAAATCCTGTCAAATCCAATCTGGAGAATTCCCGAAGTCGAAGGATACTTTATCTTGGATCAGCGTGTCTAATGTAACAAGCACCTAACAAAACAGCAAGAAGATAGATATCAAACCATAACCTGAATTTTTAAACCAACTTTCTTTTCACAGGGAAGGCTGATGTGAGGACTTACGCGCAGAGCAGGATGCCCCGGTGTAGCCAGGGGGACAGTCGCAGGCTCCAGTTTCTCTGTTGCACTGGCCCCCGTTGGCACAGGGCTCACAGAAGGACTGGCAGTCTGGTCCCCACCGGTCGGCTGGGCAAGCTAGGAAAGAAAGCACCCGATATGCTCCCAGTGCCATTTTCTGTTTCAAGGCTACTATAGATTTCTGCTGTTACCTCGAAGAATTTAAAAGAAATAGCAAAAACTAAGCTGGATAAAGGATTGTTATATTACGTCTATAGACATATAGCGCTTTCACAGTAACCTTCTGAAAGAGTCAACACGCCTCTGTACTGCAGCACAGAACACATCTAAAGAGAGAACCAAAGGCTCTCCTCCAACCCCTGTTGCTGTGTGTCTGGTTTTTTGGTTTGGTTTCTGATACAGTAACATCAGGAATATTTGGACATATCTGAAAAATTAACCACTGCACTCAGCAAAGGAAACCTGCCATGGACAATAATCAGCAGCCAGATGTAGGAGGGAAGGGCTGCTGTTGTACTTCTGGTGGCCCGAGTGGGGGTCAGGATGGTCATACAGTCCAGAAGGACTGGACGTGAGGTCAGCTTCACCTCCTTCGCCAGGTTCCTGCTCTGCAGAGCAGTGAGTCACAACCTAGGTCGGTCCACCCTGGGCAGATGCTCCTCAGGTGTGCAACAGCCAGAGCTCTGCAGGTGGAAGAGGGCCATCCCACGGCCCCTTGGCAGTTCAGTGTCCCTGAGGCTTTTTTTCATCTCTTTACTTAATTACCCACAATAATGCTCTCCATTTAATTCGTTTCTCTGTGCCGGGTCCCTCACTTGCTGCTTCAACAATAGCTGTATTTGGCTATGGCCCTTCGACAGCTTCTGAGGCACGTTGTGTGCACATGGCGGCATGGTCCTGAGCTCTGCTCTGGGACTCAGAGCTGCTGCAATGCCCTGGTGTTGCTGCCCAACTTGTATAGACCCAGCCCAGGATACAAATCACTATTATTAATTGGAGCAGAGAGACAGGTCAAGGTAACTGAATCACATCCCCTCCTTTCAAACGACCCCATGTGATGGATGTCATATCTTCTGCACCAAGGATTATCCTTTACCCATCCTGCAAATGAAGCCTATTGCGCTGCAGCAGTTTGGGTGGGAAACAGAATAATTCCGCTTCTTATCATGTCTGTCAAAACAAGACACTCACCACCATAGCCCAGCACCAAACGCACCTTGCTCACACGTAGCACCAGTCTTCCCAGCTGGGCACATGCACTGCCCCGTCTTCGGGTCGCACGGTGCTTCCCTGCAGCTGCACCTCTGCTGGCAGTTCACCCCGAAGCTCCCAGGTGGACAAGCTGCTCAAAAGAAACCCAAAGACATGGTTAGTATAAAGAAGCATTACGATTAAGAGGCAGCACCATGAGCAATTTTAAACTGAGCCGTGCTGGTAGCAAGTGATCTTTATTAGCATCAGCGTCTCAGCGACCCGTGGTCTGTAATTTACCGCAACAGAACTCTAGAAAATCTGTGCCTGAAGCTTTAAAAGGAACTACAGTTACCTGGATAAACATTAGTTTTACTAACTGGCCTCAGCCTTGTGCCTCGACCTTTGGAAGCAGAGTGACACAGGCTCCAAATATCAGTTTGGCTTCCGTGGGGAACTGCTAACCAGAATCAACAACAAATGTACCTTTTCTTTGCAACTTTTATATCTGAACATAAGTTTCCTGACCAAGCTTTCCCATCCAAAGTGTACCTCCCAGGGAAACATGCAGTGAGTACCTACATAAATGGCATTTTTCTCCATGAAACCCAGGTGGGCATGGATGCTTGCAGACTCCTGTCTCATGATCACACAAAACATCAGGAGGACAGTCGCACCTCAATTTGCAACCAGCCCCATAAAAGCCAGGTGTGCACTCTGGAAAATGTAAGTAGGCACAAAAACGTATAAGAAGAAGGAAGAGTTAAGAAAATTGAACAAAAGTCAGAAAATAATTTGGCAGAAATTTGCAGAAAATCTATTATAATGAACATTTTAGAGCTGCCGATACCCAACTGTAAATGCTTATTGAACACTTGCATGGACATTTCAAAGAGGTTACTGCTTAAATACAACCCAGAAACAGAGTGGCAGAATACTTCAGGATATATTCAATTACAGCCATTACAGAATTACTCTTCTTATCTGTCTGCACCTTCTGCTGCTCTCTGCCTTGGTGCAAAGCCAGTGCTGGGTGAGGGATGCTCTCCCCCAGAACTGAGCACGTCACCATGAACGCTAAAGATATTAAACATCATCATCACTATTCTTCTCCCCCCAGAACTAATGTCATAAATCCGACACGTTCCTGCCTGCCCAGAGAGGAATCTGAAGGGAAAATCTTTATTGTGTTACTCCATTACTGTCTGGAGAGGGCTACTGAGACATGCAAACATGAATGCGGAATACAATTCTCTTTGAACTACTCCCAAAAAACTACAAAGAATAAGTTGAATTCAAAGCCCTGCAACTCTGAAGGGAAAGCAGCATTACCAAAACCATTTACAAATAATGCTGCTGCCATAAAGCACAGGTTTTGTTACTTATTTACTGCCTGTGTGAAAAAAGGGAAGAACAAAAGTGAAAACTCCCACAGTCTTCATTATTTAGGGTTGTATTAGAACTGTTGTCATTTGATCAGGCTAAAACTCCTGCATTTTTAAGCTGTATTCCCCTTGATGTCCCTCTAAGCTCTGTGATATCAGGGCACTCATGGAGTTTGCTGCATGAAAAACCACAGACAAAATAATTAGCAGAATATGAATATATTAGTGCCAGCAGCAGCCAAACAAAGCAAATGGGAGGAAGAATGAGAAATAATGCTGGGACAAAGGAATAAGCAAACACATTGAATCTGTCTTTCTATTATACCTTTCTGGCACTTTTTGCCGTGATAACCAGGCTTGCAGGTGCAAGTCCCGTTCCTGGCGCTGCATTCCAGCGTGTGCTCCTTCACGCACTGACACTCCTCCGAGCAGCCAGCTCCGAAGGCCCACCTGGGACAGGCTGCAGCCAGATGAAAAGGAATCATTAGCTCTGTAATTATGCATGAGGTCTTCGAAACTGCACACTGCTGCAGAAGGCAACTGCTGCAGAAAGCAAAACGTGTGTACTTTCAGCAAATACATCCACGTTCCTATGACAGTGCCTATTAATGTGTGGGCGTGTAAAATATTGCTTGAAATGAAATTAATTATTTAATATAGAAATCATGTAAACTATATGTTGTGAATGAAGATCTGGCAAGAAGCAGAAAGGTTTCAAAGCAAATTTAGTTAAGTTTCTGAATGAAAAATATTTGGATCCACTCCAAGACAAAAACTTTCATTAAAACAAAAAAAAAAAGCAAAAAAACCCAATTTTCCGTCTTGGATAGATTTTATGAACAAAACCCATAAGTGCAAAGGAACTTGACCATCTATTTTGTAACATTGTTGTTTCGAACCTTTTCATTCCCATTCAACATCTTGCCCTCATCCTGCCCCAGCCATCCCTGCTCCTCAGTTCCCACTCTAACCGTACCAGCAGCCACTAACTAGCTCCAACCAGATTTTAACCTCATCAACACTCTTAATGTTAACCTGCCCATCCCAAGCCAACCCAACCCAACCTATAGTCCTCACCTTTGTGCATCAGTAAATCTCAGTCCTTACAGCAAAGATTAATTGCTAGAGGAAAAGATTAATGAAGCTTCTGGGGCTTCTCAGCACATGTCAAAAGTCATCTCCTCCTGCTGCTCCCAGCTCATTGCAGAACCCAAACCCTTGCTTATTTTATACGCAATACAGAACCTTTTTAAGACTGTTATGTGTGTGTTAAATAAGCAGATCATAAAAATTCTGGGGACTTACTAAGATGGCAGAAGCGCCCGTAGAGCCCGGGGTCGCACAGGCAGGCTCCATAGAGTCTGTGGCAATAGCCGTTGTTGGCGCAGTTGCACGGTTTGTTACAGTTCTTCCCAAAGAGGCCTTTGGGGCAACCTTTGGAGTGCAGAAACACAGCAAGGCATCAGCTGCCGAGTATTAAAACATCAACACCAAATCAGCTCTCTTTTAGTTGACACTACAGAAAAGACCACGCTGGTGTGTCACTGACCTGGGGCTCTGGGCAGTCCATCCTTACAAGGCACTCTTTCTCTCACCCTCTGTCTTGCCGATTATTTAAACAAAAACAACTGCAAGGGATTTCGCCCGGTTACAGTACGTCTTGCAGAATGGAAACTGTTCTCATTTCATAGAATCATAGATTAGAGTTGGAAGGGACCATGGAGGTTATCTAGTCCAACCCCTGGCAGTAAGCAAGGACATCTTCCACTACATCAGGTTGCCCAGAGCCCCATCCAACCTGACCTGGGGTTGGTCCATTTGGGTCCCTAAGATTTACTCCACACAACTACATCTAGATAGAAACAAGGGGAAAGAAGCAGCCGTGAGACGAGGGAGCCGTACCATCTTCACAGAGCTTGCCATGCACGCCGGGCGGGCAGCGGCACTGCCCCGTCACGGGGTCGCAGGAGCCTCCATTCTGGCACTTGCAAACGCTGGCACAGCCTCTGCCGTATGTCCCAGGAGAGCAAGCTGTAGAGAAAGCAGGGAAGAAGGATGGGCCAAGCCATCCTTTCCCTCTGCTGGAAATTAAGAGAAATAAGACTCCAGTCATCAAAATCCAGCAAGGAAGGAGTCCCTTTAGTCAAGCAGGTGCTAAACAAAGTCATGTTCTTTCTATACAAGGTAATACACATCCACCTAATATTCAGTAGGCAATTTGAAAAGGACACCTGAATTAAGCAAGCTTACTTATGTGAAGTAGCATGTGATGTATTCAAATTCTCCCTTGCATATGCTCCCTTCCACACAAGGCATGAGGCTCAAAAAACATTGCCTATGAAGTACAAAGCTTAACAATCGGAGCACAGTTTTGAATATTTGGAGATTACTATTTTTAAACATTTTTTTCCCTCACAAATACTATTATAAAAATAACACTGTTTTTGTAACATAGTCTCTTAAATTCCCCAGATGATGATGGCAGAAATGGATCCACAACAGCACAGGATTCTTTCCTAAAGCCCTCATCATTCCAGAGCAAAAGAAATTGTGAGATGAAGCCTTGCTCCACTGTGCACAGTCCAAGCAAGCTGACTAAATACAGTTGCTGGAGTCATCTGACTTAACTGACGTTTTATCAATGTACATTAAGAAACTTGACATTTCACATCAATTTTCATTTGGCTTCTTTGATGCATTATTACAGAAATTTAGTTCCACTTTTCTCAACTGTTTAGCTTGCCCTAAACCCATGAACTATGCTGTATATTAAGAAAAGGAGAGAAAAGAGTGAAAGCAATCACAGGTGGCTAATTCATATAGATGATATATTGTATTTATCACTATCAATGCCTACTTCCATCAGACTGCAGGTTTGGCTCAACAACACAGTCCCATTAAAGTTCTTTAAATTCCAGAAGTGAATTCCACCAGATTACAGGCATGGATATCTACTGTAAATATAGAGCAAAAATTTTATTATTATTATTTATGAAGTGAACTAAAGAATTTGTATCCTATCTTGAATTTTTTATAATCTATCCTGAACCACTCGAGCACCATGAATAGAAGGAAGAATTTCATAACTTGATAGCTTCAACTGTCTGAAGAAAACTAGAAATTATAATTTTTATCCTCTTTATTCCTATTCTTGCAGCTCTCCCCAGTGTTCACAAACCAAACCTACAATCAGTCTCCTAAAATAACTACGTGCAAGCTGTTGGCTTCAATCATGTGCTGTTTCCTTCCATATTTCTGTCCTTGTGATGATGCCTCCTATGCAATCTTCATGGCGATTAACCTGAAGATTGCTGTCTACCGATGCTAAGTAATAATTCTTCATCACCTATTTGTCTCATCAGTGACAGCACAGACTTTTTGAGCATGATGGGCCATCACGCCATAGACCGTGAAACGGAGGGACCCATCTCAAATGCCCAGAGACTGCTGTGTGAAGTCTTAGACAAGCAACACAAGTTTTGCTGAACTGCAGATGAAGAACAGTGCGTGGTAAGAAATTGCCACTCTGTCTTTCCAGTTGGTTTTGACAAATATTTTTGAACCAGAGAGATCTTCTCCCCGGAGGCAGGAACAAGAAGAGTACAAAGCTATTACAAAGGGCACTGGCTAACTTGGCAAGAGAATTCTAAAAAATACAATTTCCAATATTAAAAATTAATCATCCCAAGAAACGTATGCTAATAAGTAAGAGAATGATAAAAAAAAAAATGAGGCCCAAGTTCACCATCACAAGAAGGAGGGAAAAAAAAAAGCAACATCTTGGGATGCTATAAAGGAAAAATCAACTTTAGCATCTATATCCACCCAGATTGTCACACCACCTGCCAGGACAGACTCCTGCAAGTCAGCGAGGCAAGACATGCAGCAAAGCATGGCAGGCAAACCTTGTCACTTCTCAGCAACAGAGCAAATAGGAATGAACACCAACACAAATACCCAGGGAAGGGGTACTGTGCTGTACTGGAGGGCAGAGACCTCGCTGTTTGAGGTATCCTTTAGCATCCCTTGCAGTTTCTATTTAATGTTACCCGTTACAATAAACTTTGGATCTGTCTATGAGGCAGCTGTGCTCCTTAGAGAGCTTTACAGATTAAAAGTACAACAGGCTATTCCTATTTCCTATCTGCAGTGTCACAGCACTAGGACAAAGTCCCCCCTTTCAAACACGCTGTACTCACTTTCGTTACAGATAATACCAGTCCACCCAGGGGAGCAAACGCAGCCGCTGTGTTCACTGTTACATCTGCCTCCGTTCAGACAATCCTCACAGCTCAAGCTGCAGTCATTGCCAAAAGTGTTATCAAGGCAAACTGAAATGAAAGAAATATAGAAGCTTTATAGAGCATCCAGATAAAATACTTTCACAAGCTCTTGCCTAACATTCCAGATGCACAAGTATAAAAAGGGACCTGCACAACACTGACAGACTGGAAAAAAAGTGTTCACATTGTTAGCGTTGGTGTTGGTAGTAGTTCAAATATCACCGAGTCATCCCAAATGGAGATTCTCAAATGTTCCTCTTCAAATTTTAGAGTCCAAAAGGAAGCTGTGACTTTAGCTGGAATTTACTCCTTTAAATGCTGTAATTCTCCATCAAGGAGCACTTTAAACTACTTTTAAGAGCAAATATTTTGCCTTCAGAAAAAGTGAATTTGCACCTAATGCTTAATAATACTGTATATAATCAAAAGTATTGCTTGGGAGAGAATCTCCTTTTCTCCTTGCTAGGCTCTCCTTTTTGTTCTTCTGTTGCAGCAGGTGGATGCGTTGCTATTCAAGCACAGTCCAGTGATATTTTCAACAGCCTAGTTTGAGTGTCATTGTGGGAAAACAAAGCATAATACACATTTATCACTTTTTTTCTTCATGGATATGAAAAAAGGGATAGTTTATATGGGAAACCTCATATGAAAATGCATTCCTCCCCCACCTTCTTTTTCCCCCCCATGCACTCGAATACCAGCACACGCAAGTGCACCCTCAGGTTCTCTCTTTGTGGGGTCTATTGAGAAAGACCCAGAACATAAATGTCATTCCCTGCTAAAATATCTCATTGACATTAAGAGCCTACCCACACAGCCAGTTTATTGCCTTCGAGGCTTTATGGCTGTGGCTGGAGACCCTTTTGGAAGGGGATTTTGAACAACACCTGAAAGCGAGCTGGCAGGTTATTTCAACTAACAGTGCTGGTTTGCTTCTCATCAGGAATTTTCTATATGAGGCCAGATTTCCTCTAGGTCTCAGCACCCAACTGTTCCTTTTTCCGAAGCTGAACAAATGCCCAAGCTTTCAGGGACGTTCAGAATCTCAGTGTTCCCACTTGGAACGGGTTACAAACTCATACTTCAGGAGAAGAACACGGATTGCCATTAAAAACGTCATGCTTCTACACTAAAAAGTCATTCAAGCTATAGAAAATACTTAATTACTTGTACCAGCTTATTGTTAAAGCATGGGGTTTTTATAGTATAGATAGCTGCACAAAAATAAGTCTGAAAGTATAAGGAATAAATTAATATTTGGGAGGTAAAAGAACTCACTAAGCCATAAAGTTTTTCATTTCTCCATCACCTTTTCCTACGAACCATCACGTGCTACAAAGCCTCAGCTTTAGAAGTGCAGATGCTCAGCTATGACTGATAACACTCAAATTCATGTGGCTAAATATAAATAAAACATGCAAAAAACTGGTCAATAAATATTTGATTGTGGTTTCTAGGCCTGATAATTTTGCCTGTGGTTATCTCATTTATTATTTCCCCAATCGGTTATCAGTGTCGTCAAGTCCGGCTGGATGCTATGTGATTTGGGAGGTTTTAACAGTTTTGTTCATAAAAAGAAGTTAATTTTTTATTACAGCCAAGACCAGTTCCTGATTTTTGCCTGTAGGGCACAGTCCTCGGATGAGTAATTAGAGCTCATATAAAAATCACAGGACATACATAACAAAAATAAGCAATCTCATTCCTCCCTGGGCACCCACCAGCACATGCTGCACTCATCAGAAAGCAAGCACCGGGTTTCAACTCGCAATACTATTTAAGTGGTGAAGTTTACACCTATGGGTGGAAAGACTGAAGTAATGCAAAGTCCAGGTGGGGTGCAGAGCTGCTTTGCACCCACTCCTGTGCCTCTGCATGTTCACAGTTGTGCCAAGCCCTCTGCCTGAGCTCTAAGTGGATGGGTCTGTGCTTTTCCTGGAGAACACGCCCAAAGCATCACAAGGGATCTGAATCTCCAGAAGGTCCTCCATCCCTCCGCCCCTCCACTGCCCCAAACTAAGGACACACATATCTTAAGCAAAAATCCCTGCAATTATTGCAAAAGGCCTTGTGCACAGGCACCGTGCCCTCACACCCCTCTTTCCTAGCTCCAGGAGAAAGGGAGCGTTTCCCAAAGGCTTGTTCTCAGTAGAGCAGCTTTGGCGGACTTTTGTGCATTGCAGGAACCCACACAATCCTCTCGCCCCCGGAATGAAGAGGATCTCTTTGTTGCCTCCGGGGCTTTGTGCAGACACCCTGTTTTCCCAAGAAGCCCCCCACCCCTTGCTTGCTGCACCACTCACTTTTCCCCTGCCGCCCTCCGCAGCCCTCCCCACCACATCCAGGCAGCAGCATCTGCAACCAAGGAGCCTCCCTGTTCCCAAAACATGTTCCATTTGGAATGGGACATGTGGCAATGTCTCCTCCCTGCTGGTGTAGGGGACAGGCAGAAAGCAGGATTGATGCCCACCCCTCCTCTGCTCCTCCTGACAGCTTTAACCCAGCCAGCCCAGCATCACTCTTGCCCCGAATCCTCTTTCCAAGATTATTTCCCCCATTTGCTGTGACAGTTAAAAGCAATGCTTGTTCACTCACCGACCCTGTGCACCAGGCTGAGCTCTCCTCGCAGGTCTTCATCATCATAGAGGGAACTGAGCGCATAGCGAAGGAGCTGGGGGGGACCTCGGAACTGCAGCCCTGGAGCCCCTGCCAACCCTGCTGCCTCCTCCGCATCCGCGTCCTCCCCACCTAGGGCTGACACACACAGTGCCATCAGGAGCTGGTCCAAGTCTTCCTCTGTGACACTTTCCTCTCATTTACTTTTTTTTTTTTATTATGCTGGTAGATTTTCCAGTTACACCCCTGTGCAGTCTGCACAGCAGTCACAGCTGATTCATTTTCTGATCTTTATACAGAGTTTCTGCTATCCAGAAAAAAGATAAAAGGGTGGGGGGGAAAAAAAAAATTCCCTTCCCTTTCCTTTCTTCTGGAGGTAAACTCCGGTCCTGGAGAGTCCAAAAAAAATTAAATGGAGAGTTTAATTTTCCTCAGTTGAAGTTTGAGATTATTTTTAGCTAATGAAGGTCATTACTCTAGCTCATTTTGGAGATGACAAATGTAGAGTGAGCCTGGCTGTCCAATTTATTTTCAGAAAAACTAGAATTTGAGCTTTAAAAGGATGGGAAATCAGTTGGCTTTCTTTTTGGAGTTGGTTAAAATATCAAGCTCTGTGCAAGATTTAGCAGGTTCTAAATTTGGTTATAAAATTAAGTTGCCAGGCTAAACTCTACTGGTGATTCTGGATTTCTGCCAGCCTAACGCCACTGACTTTAGTGGAAAACTTGCCTTCGTTCATCAAAGCAGAACCTGGCTACCTTTTTTCCACAGGATGTTAAACTTCATCAAATAGTGCAAGAAAACTGTCAAAATAGTATTTATTTCTAAAACACAAGGTTTACGTTTTCAAACATGTCCAAGGGATTTAAGCATTCATCTCCCATTAATCTTTGTCAAAACCCATTACTTGAAGATGAATTTGGGATCCTCATGTTGCACATAGCTCTACCCTGGCCACATCTAGAGATGGCTCAAGTTGGGCTCCCAAAGATCCCAGGATCTGTGAAAATCTCAGTTGAATTCACACTGTAAATCAGTGGGAAATACTCAATGACCTTCAAGATACAAAAATAACTTACCGACGCAGGACCGCCTGTTAACACCAAGGCTGTAACCCTCCTTACACGCACATTCGTACGACCCCAGAGAATTAACACAGGAATGGTCGCAGTTGCCATTATCAAGATGACATTCATCCACATCTAGAAAAAACAGATATAAATGTTGATTAGGTGCAAGTACCTCTCCTTGTGGCTGACTGCATCTGAAAAATTATTCTGCACATAAGAACACCTGATTGTCTTAGTACTTTGGGGCTCTCCGTTTCTCATTAGTATTGGAGATATTAAAACATTTCAGGGCAACGTTGAATGGATTATTTCACCTATGTTTTTCTCTCAAGTGAAAACAGCTGCTTTAAGCTGTTAAATTCAGTTGATCCCTTGGTTATTTAGAGGGCTCTCCTTTTGTAGAATAGTCTTTAACACACATCAATACACAGCATCCACGGAGAGAGGAGGAAAAATTCCTCTCTACTGCCTCATCTCCCACAGCCCCACTTCTCCATGACGAAAGCTGGGTTATTATTGTATTCCAGCCTCATAAAGTAGAAACTATACATTTGCAAACCTTAGCAGCAAAGCTGGCATATGGTCACAGATTCTCTTATTAGGGAAGTGTCCACAAAGCCACGGGATGAGCTCTGACAGCATTTCTTCCTCCCACTGATGTGTTTAGTTAAACCAAGCCACCGGCCTCAAAGGACTCACCGTCACAGGAGCAGCCATCGGCGTTCAGCTGGAACCCCGCCTTGCAGGCACACTCGTAGCCGCCCACATAGTTGATGCAGAACTGGGAGCAGCAGGACTCTCCGGTCTCACACTCGTCCAGCTCTGAAAGGAAGGGGCAGCTCGTTCAGCCCTCGGACACAGTCTGAGCTGCTGCCATGGTTTTGTACTTTTCAGCACACGCCTTTCTACATCTTCCTCTCCCTTCACCTACGTAAAACACTGAGTCCTGACAGCAGCTGTCTTCTACTTTCTTCCACATCACCTAATACCCTTTTTTTCCCATCTTTTTTGCAAGCTTTAGCTACCACAAGGTGACCTACAAAACAGACAACGATTAGGTCTCACCTGCCGACAAATACCATCTATGTACTATTAATCTACACTTAACCATTTGGATTTTTTTACATTCAACCTTATTCAATGCAAGCTAACAGTGAAACAACGTTCTAATCCAACAACACATTTGCCGGCCATCAGCAGCCTGCTATATGAAATTGTAGTTTTTGATAACTAACTGCCCATTGCCTTATCCTGCCCTGCATCCATCCGGAAATTGGTATCGTTGACACCACTGTTGTGGTGATGAGATAGGAGAATCGAGCTGTTATCTTTTCACTGCAGGCTTTCAGCTGATCTCAGCCCTCGCAGCCTGCTGAGCAGGTCGGTGGCCGTTCAAGGGCCACCTTGTCAATGCTGAGTCTGCAAAAGGCTTTTGAACGTTACTCCAGACGAGCAGCCGCAGATGGGAAAGGTCAGTGTCTCAATTAACCTTGGAAGGAGTACCAATGTTATCAGGAAACACCGACAGGAGAAAGAGGAGAAAGAAAATGTAATTAATCAATGGAGGTGAGGAGGTCAGCATAAAAATGATTAATGCAGGTTATTTGAACAGGGAGTGTTCTCCAGAGCTGTCACAAGCTGAGCTCCTCTGTGGTATGTTAGCCAATGCCTTGCTCTGGGGTCCAGCAACAGCCTCTTGTCTGGGTAGAAATGTGAAATGTGTGTCCAACAAAAAGGAGATTTTTGCTGTGAAGAACAGCTTTTCATGTCCCCAGCTTTGGCAAACCCTTCCCCTGCACTCTCACTCCCCTCGCTGTGTCCAGAGCAGCCGCCTCCCTCCAAAATCTCCATCAGCAGGTCCCTGTGCAGAAGCCTGCTCTGCCTCCTCTCATCCACACACAAAAAAAACCTGAGTAACCCACCCCACCCCTGCCAGGCTCTAGGCCCCGATCTGCCTCCCCGACTGTCTTTCTTTTGCTTTTTAAGCTCCAGCTTCAACCACCCTTGCAGACCTCAGTACTCCCCTCCTCCCCCTGGCACTTGGCTTTTTTTGTTGCAAGACTCTTTTTGTCTGTAATGCATCTCACATTCACCAGAGCTCCCGCTCTCCACTTCTCCTCACGTCTTACTACACTGCTGTATGATGCCTGCTCCCCGCCCCCTCTTGGCTAGTCTTTAAAATTTTGATGGCACAGCGACAGTAAGTCTAAACCAGAACGAGATACAGTTTGCATAGCAAAAGCTGTAAACAACCAAAAAAAAAAAAATCACATCATAAAATCGTTTAAAACATGAAGGAATTTTTAAGCTCTTCTCTTGAGATAAAAACAAATCTAAGTCTATTGCTTTCACTTCCTAAGTGAGACTTCTCACAGCCAGAAGTCCCATCTCATCACTGAGCAAATCTGATGGAAATAGAGCAACTTCCATAACGCAGAGTGGAGTTTGAGCATGAAGCGCTTCAGAACAGCAGTGCTACCACTCCCAGACAGAGTCAACCCTCTTCCCAGTCACCGGCTCAGGAAGGGATGGAAAAAAAACTCAGCCAGGTGATGCTTGGGCTGGACACAATGAGACACAGCCACTGGTGATGCACCGAAGTGTCATCTTCCATTTGAGAGGCAGAACTCCTTCCCCTCACTAATGAATAATCCCAGCAAACACGCAGGGCAAGGCAAGCCAGAGCAGCAGCTGAGGAAGTGCCAGAGGATGGGATTAATTAAAACTTGGAGGAGAAGGGTAGGGGATGGGAAGGTGTTTCCTTGAGTGACAGCTCTCCTGCAGGCTCCCCTTGCAGAGAGACCTGCCACACCTCCTCCCTCCTCCCGCAGAGACGTGGCATTTGCTGTGAATTACCTGTGCAGGTTTTGCCACCAAAATCGAGGCGATAGCCGTTGTCGCAGGAGCAGCGTGGACCCACAGTTGTATGTTCACAGCGGTGAGAGCAGCCACCGTTGTTGTCCTGGCAGCTATCAACAATTTCCATTTCGATGCCTTGCAGAGAAATAAATCAAAAGGATGTTAAAAAGCCAGCATGGGAAGAGAGTCACTGGAGAATAAGTCTTCCATAAAAAAGTATCCAGAAGACGACTGTTGTAGCAAGAAATATAAACTCAGCTCCTACACACACCCAAGAGCAGCACGTTTTGGAGTCACTGAACTCCGGGTATTTGTCTCCTTGTGTCATAACACTGGATGCTCTCGACTTGGGTAACGTGAAGCTGGCTCACCGTTTCAGCAGTCTGCCTGCTACGGGAGCATTCACAGCCTTCCTGAGATTCATCCTTTGTTTGAACCTAATGCTGAGCTCCTGCCATTGTCCCAGAGGAGGAACCCAGCTGGTTCATCTCAACCCAGACTGCTTCTGCGTTCCAAAAAGCAGTTTTTAGTTTTTAGAGTTGGGTTCTGAAACATCCACCAAACAAATGCCTTGAAATTTTCATAGCAGGGGCCTGCTGCCGAGCCTGACACCTAACCTAAAGCAAAACAACCTGCAGGTTTTGACCCTTCAAGGGCACACACAGCAGCTCCTCCGCTGAGACTCTGTCCCTCTACAATTAAGACGGGGCAGTGGTATGATGCCATCGCTAGCCCCCTTCGTTCTGACAGACCAATGGACAGTCCTCACAACATTTTGACCAGGTCCAGTGGAAACCCTCACAGAGGAAAGGGAACATCTGTCCATCTCATTCCCACCATTAAACAATTAAACATCACTAAACGATTTCTTTAGGTTGAAAAGAAAATATAAGGTCAGTTATAAAATTTCCCTTGAAGAAATAGCCACATTGTCTTGTTGCAGAGCTATTTACAGAGGAATTAATTTCCCATACCTACGCAGAAGAATTTAGAAACACGCTCCCTAAAGGAGCCATTGTACTTCCAGAAACACCCCAGCTCAGTGGCAGCCATCAGATCAGGTACAGAAGGATGGTGTTTCCCCACTGCTGTGGCTCACGGACACACCTGTGTTGGTGGCTCTGATCCCTTTTTGTGTCCCCAGGGAGCAACCCGCCTGCTGACAAGAAATGTAAGCCTATCTGGAAGAGGGTATAAATTCAGAGAACAGATATGGAGAGCTACATCTCCTGCACAGTATGATTATTTGTGCCGGGGAGAAGCAATCTAGTCTCCTGCTCCATGTGCTAAAGCTGGGATTAAGGAAACTCAGCAATCAAATGCAGAATCTTACTTTATACACTATCTTCATAATTTGTCTCAGTTCTTCATCAGTAAAACTGGAATAACAGCTCTTCCCTATGTCTCCAAGGAAATGAAATAATAAACAAAGATTGTAAATTGCTCAAACACTGGCATAATCCTGATGATAAATATATGCAGAACGTTTTTATTTTTATTGTTTGTTCTGTAAGATTGTGTATAAGGCACAGAGAATCACCATCCCCAGAGATCTGCTGAATATTGAGAAAAAATATTGTCAGAAAATCACAATGAAATCTAAGTGGTCTAAACCACTTTTTTATCCCCATAACAGATCATTTCGTGTCTATATATTGATTGCATTTCCTCCACTATTGCACTACTCACAGTTCCACATCACCTATGAAATAACTCTCCAGGACGTCTCTCACAGAATTGTTTTTTGGTTTTAATGTATGTTAATGCTTTGAAACTGATTTTCATCCTTAATAAGTATTTCTACACACACATTCTTCAAGAAAGCATTCATTCTCTAGCATGCAGCATATTTTCCTAAGGAAATTCTGCTGAAAGTTCTTGCACAGTATTATTAGATTGAATGATCTTTGCCCACCTCTTTGCTAAAACAGGTCATGCTTTTGTCTGCGTTCCAGGTCCAAAATAACACCAACTCTTCCACATAACCTCCTTTGTTAATCTAAATTTGCCCTCAAGGACAGCGAGGGATCACTTATCAACTAACAGCGCTGGGAGTCAGCCCCCTCCTCAAGAAAAGCGTGTCGATTATGAAACCCCGCTGGCAAGAGGCAGGCATGTGGGGGGAGACAACAGGGCTCAGCATGATTTTGTTTGGGAAATTCTAGTTGTTCAAATATTTTTTCCATCCCCAATCTTGCTCTTTTTTTTTTTTTTTTTTTTTTTAAAGCGTCTACTTAGCGCTCTCAATAAACACAGAAGACACCTAAGTAAACCTAGACAGATACAGACAAGAGCAGCACATCATGTGGGTTTTTGTCTTTTTTTTTTCCCTCAGATCTAGCATACAATAAAAATGGGAGAAGGAGGGCAGGAATGAATACATTTCATAGAAGACCAATATTTTGGTAGCTCTGCAACAGAATTCACCAGACTCTGAAGATAAACCAACAGGGCTATTTGCTCGTTGAAATGCAGTAATTAAGGTCTGTGAACAGAGGCTTAGGAATGTATCAACCTGCAAAACCAGCAATAGCAGAAGACGAAGAAAATAGCATTAAGCTTGAGCTTTTGCATACATTTATTTTGCTGGGAGTGCTAATCCAACTGAATTAAAAATGAAGCATAGCAGTTTGCAGATAAGAAATGCATAGGCTGAAATGCATAGCTGTGAAAGTGTCACTTACGGTAGCACTGCTTTCCATCAGCCCCCAGCTCGAAGCCGGGATTACAGACACAGGTGAAGGACCCCAGAGTGTTCACACAACGATGAGCACACCTGGGCCTCTCTTCTGCACACTCATCAATGTCTACAAAGCAGAGAGAAAGGCAGAGACATTCATTTGGAGATTAAAACAAAAAAAATAATATTTTTCTACACGTACATGGCTGTATTTCCAAACATCCACTGAAAAGCAAATCCTGATGTTAGTCTACAAATGACAGCACCTGACAAATCCTGTCAGGATTCACTGAACTCACAACATTATCCTCCAAAATAATTTTTTTTTCTAAACACCAGTGACCTTGAACCTCTCATTTTGAATATTTACAATATAAAACATTATATTTACAGCATCAGGCAGAGCAACTTGGTCATTATTCCTGTGAGACGAGCAATGGCAAAAGAAGTCACAGGAAGAACTCAGAAGTCCTATTTCCCAATGCCCTAAAATTATCACTAGGTCCTCAATGCCATTATATTTAAATTAACAAAGCAGAAAATAGCTGATTATTTTCTGAATGTCAAATGATTTGGATTAAGTGGTGTCTGGGTTTCATCAGGTATGATGGAGAGATCTTCCCTGGCACATCCCTGAATCCTGCAGCTTCCTCTACAGAAGCCCAGCAGGGAGGCACCTCCTCTAACCAGAGGAGTTTCATCCCACCTGTAAGAAAAGAAAAAAGGTGAAGAGCTGTAGGTGGGGAGACTGTTCTTCACCCTGTCCTCTGTCAAGCAGTCTGTTCTTCTACATCCATCTTCCTAAAATCTCACAAAAATACTTTTAAGGAATAATTATGGAAAAAAAAGCAAAGCAAAAACTTATACTCAATGCTGCTGCTGCGGAGCACAGCTGCAGAAAACACCAGCCTCTGCACAAAGACGGGTGTTATCTTACACATGGCAAACCCCTGCCTGACCTCCTGCTATGTCTCTTGTTCTGACATTTCGCTTGCAAAATACAGATAATTCATCGCTATGATCCTGGGTCAGTCTCGCACACAGGAGAACAGTCCGGTGTGCAGCTCCTCACCTTTTACCACAGCAAACCACTTCCTAAAAGGTTTTTTTTCCTCCATACGTACGGCTGTAACCAGTGCCATACTCATGGCCCCTTGTACTCGAGCACAAGTAGCTTTATGAATGCAATCGGCCTACTTGCAGAAAAAGGCCCCAGGCAGTGCAAACACCACACACCGACTCATGAAAATTTCAGGAGAGATGACAGCTTCTCTGAAGCAGCAATGGGAGTAGCTGCTGTTTGGAATAAAATGGCTTATTTCTCCTTTTTCTGTTTGGAACAAAATGGGTTATTTCTCCTTTTTTCTGTAATTAGTTGTCACTCTGCAAGTAGGGTATGTTGGCAAATGCTGTAAATGTTCTTTTCTCTTTTTCTGCTTTTTGAAATAGAAAAATAAAAAGTTGGAAAACGGAACCACAGCCACCATCCTGCACATGTTTCTCCATATCTTGTAAATAGAGCTAATAGCTAAAGCATGACACTTTAGTTGCCCTTTGTCTCTTCCTAGTTCAGTTTTCAACGAGTCAAATACCAGCTTGGATTTTGCAAAAGATGTTGATTAATTTCTAGGAAAAAAACCCAATAATTCTATAACCATGGTAAGACATGATGCTTAATGATTCAAATGACTGTTGCCATGAGGTCAGCAAGAAAATTTGTTCCAACATATAACATTGCACGTTACCTAGTACTTTAGTTTATACATAAATTAACAGAATTGTCAACATGTACCCAAGAAAAAACGAGAAACACACTTAGTATTAAGCACACTGCTGTTTCCAACTACTAATCCTCAGTGCAGTGTCAACACTACTTGAAAATACTTTGCTTTTCCAGTAACTGTACCCACGAGTAACCCCAGTAAGAGAGGGGAATCACTGAGGTGTGCAGTGCTACCCACAGAAGGGTTTACAGGCAACTGAGTACAGTACTCAGGGTAGGAAGTAAGTATTTACAAAAGCACCCAGTACTCCGTATAGGTAAAACAAAAACTTAAGTATGGGCAAAAATTGTGGCCAAGTTTTCAAAAGGAAGAGCTTAAAATTATTGTCTGAATAAATACCCTGATCCTGACAAGGCTGGTAAAAAGTCCACAGGTGCTCTGCACTTCTTAAACTGGTAAACTATCTAGCTTCCAAGCATCATATTGAAAGAGAAAAGCAGGTATTTTGGTCTCTAATTCCCCCACATTTCAGGTCAGAAATGCTTGAGATCCTTTTGAAAATCCCAGACTAAATACAGGACTTTGGAATTCAACTTTTTAAGCTCCTCTCTTTGGAAATCTTAGACTTCATGATTTCTTCCTTCACAGTAGTTTCCCTATTAATATGGAAACAGTTCTCCAGCTAAAAAGCCCTTTGAATTCTAAATAGGTTTACAGTGACCTGGTTCAGAGTGTTACTTGAACCAATTTTCCAGGAGCTGTATCTGGGGCATTATTTTAAAGGGACCCTACAAGAATAACATTACAGCATCTGCAAATCTGGTTGCTAGAAAGCATGATTTAAGAGAACACAGAGTAATTTTCATTACTAAAAATGGTCCTTCAAGCCTATTGGCTGACATAAATATTACAGAGAGAACTGCTGTTTCAAAATCAATACATATAATTGTATAACGTATTCCTTTCCATTCAAAGCTCAGTAAGCCAGAGCACTGATTAATACCTTTCTTCCCAATACCTAGACCACAGTTTCTTACCTAAACAGGACTTTTTTCTGCAGAAAGATAATGCCCTGGATGACACTCACACTTTGCAATTCCTCTCTCATTTTGACAGATTTGTGAGCATCCTCCATTCCCACTTGTGCAGGGGTCTATCGCCGAAACCAATTAGAGCACACTGTCAACTTAAAGGTCACGGTTTTGTCTGAAAATGGTCCTACCTGCCACTGTTACAACTAACAACGAAGATTACTGTAGCTGTAAGAGATTAGACTGAAAAAAAAAAAAAAAAATGACAGGATTTGGTGTCTAGTAAAGCCGTTGTTTTTCTATATGCCGCTGAAGAGCATTTTTCATTGAGCAGCAACAATGCTTTGAACAGTGGGAAACCAGGCTTGTATTGCACCTTGGAAGCAGGACAAGAAAAGTACATTTTATCCTTATTTTGCCATAACTGAGCAGATTTCAAGAGCTGCTCTAAACAATAGCAATTAGCATTCCAGTATGTGTGAACCCATAAACACATCCAACAGTGGAGTTCGCCATGGAACAATGTGTATTTAAAAGTCTCTAGAGGAAATAAATGCTGAAGGGCCCCGAAAGACCTCTTTCAGTCTAAAAACGTATGTCATTCATGCTGTACGTCATGATTTTTTTCCTTTTTTTGAAGAATAACATACCATTTTCAAGGATAAGCCACTCTAAGTGGCAAGTACTTAGAAACACATTTATGAAGTGCCTACAGAAGTCTCCACCTGAAATATCTCACTGTGTTTTATGGATTTATTTCAAGGACACATACCTGCTGGAAGCATACTGACGTGTTTGCCCAAATAAAGACTTTGCACACATCAAACCAGACCTACTGGGACTGCTTGGACATGGCTGATTTGGGTTAAGAGCCAGATTTTTCATCCCAAAATCTGATACTCTGCACAAGGTTGAGGTTTCAGTTGGGAGTAACAGTTACACTGACGTGCTGGTGAATAACACTACGTAGGTAAATTTGGAAGATGTCTGAAAATGTGTCCTCTAGAGTCCTGCTTAGTTTCAAATAAAGCTTTTTAAAAGTTAAGCCTATTTCCTAACAGTTCCAGCTCTAATTCACTTTTAGTATTTTCCTAATTATTTTCCAATCTGAGACATTTGACCAGTATTCCTCACTTGCCTCCAGCCCATCTCCTTCAGTGGCTGTCTCAAGCTCTGTACAAGTCAAGTTCTATCAAGGCACCAGGAAGAAAGCCAACATCAGATCAACAGCACTGGCAGTGGAGTCAGGGTTTCCATAACCCTGGGGAAGGGTTGAAGGTGTTTTCCTCTAGACCTTGCTGCTTTGCTCTTCCCGTGGTTAACCACACAGATATGTATAGTTACTCAGGAGAAGGGAACAGGAAAGAAAGACGGTATTTTATACTGATACATTTAAATATGGCATGGGCTTTTTCGTTTCCTCCAATTTTTACTTTTCTATGTAGCCAGTGGCACCTGGTGCCACTGTTTGGCAGAGGAGGATGTTGCCCCAGAACACCTTCAAATTTCCTTCTTACCTCCTGCCATCTCCAGAACATAACCGTTCAAATCTGCAGGCTGAGAATTTGTCTTGACAGTATTCTTAAAAACAAAAACAGGCAAAAACCCCCCAACAAAACCCAACACTGTTAAGAATGTAGAACTGAAGTTTTCTGTTGGACTTTCAATATGACTGGCTGCAAATAGGTTTCCAAGGGACAGCAGCACTTCATCCTATGTGACACTTTCAAAGCTGACAACTTCGCTCTGCGGTTTGACAATTTGTGGTATTCAAAGGATTTAGCTTCAAGCAAGAACTTGTTCCTTACTGAGTGAAATATTGAGTTATTTGCTGATTTTTTTTCCTATTTGGTTAAATTAAATGAAATCACTATCAAACAGCATCTGTTAAACCTGTATATTATAAACGTTTTTCACAGCACCTAAAGCTCTAATTTGAGAATTATTACAGCACAGAGTAAAACTTGTAATACTCCGTGACATGACAACAAGCAAACAACAAATTACAGGGTAGATGTTAGCAGAACATAGTAATTTGTATAAAGATAGCATCCTTGGAAGTCCTTAGACAAGATAGAAGTTTGTAAAGGAAAGATCTTCAGGACACAAGGCAAACACTGATTGACTTGTTTTCCATTGATACATCTGTTCCTTCCTGTCATAGGCAGGTTTCAGGAAAAGCTAAAAATAACTCCTTTGTGTTCTTTTTCCTACACATTTGGCTCTTATTGTTTGACTTTAGTATATAACAGACTCCATCCTACGAAGCTCTATTCCAAGCTGTTAAACACTATGGCAAAAAAATTTCCTGGAACTGTTTCATTTCCTAGATGTCCCAGGACATTCAGGGACCTCATCTGAAAAAGCCACGGTGATGCATTGATCTGGGATGGCAGCAATATTCTTGGTGAAGTGTAAGCATGGGCTCTGCATGTGCTGTGGACCTTCCAGACCTTCACTGCAAGGTTGTAAAGAACAGGGTCTCCAGTCCTATCTTCCATGACCTCTAGAGCACCTAAAGAGAGAGAGTTGGCCCTTGACAAGTTAATTTTCTTGCTCACAGCAACCATGACTTTACACTGGAGAAAATATAGAGTGGTAAAGAGTAAAATTTCATTCTCATGGCAGGGAAGGCGAGGGAGGGAAATAGCACTGACTTACAGAAGGGAAACTCAAAGAGGCTTGAGAAAGATACTTGTTCTTGCCACTCTTGGACAACCCAATGGAGAATTCACTCTAGCACACCTCCTGTATCGCCCACCCTCTTATACAAGTATCACAGCCACTGCTCACCACATCCATACATGTGTCACCCCCAGAGCAGGTATCTCACCACTTCATCTGATGCCATCTGATCCCATCGCTTGCCTCCAAGCTAAAGGTTGCACCACCCTGCTAGGCTTGGCTGTTTCTGTACAGCCTTTCAGGCCTATGGGGCGCAGCAGTAGCTCCCAAGGAATCAGTGAGGATGACTCCACACCTGCAGCACAGCTACCCCTGCTGTAGTAAATAACCTCATGACACTCTAGTTTCTCTGTCCAAACTAGCCATCCTTTCTGGATGGAAATTAAAAGCAGCTAGGCTCACCTCCTGCCACCTTTTCTACCTAAAACATCTCTAATTGCCAACCCAAATGTATTCACAGCCACTTTACAGAATCACAGAATGATTTCGGTTGGAAGGGACCTTCAAGATCATCTAGTTCCACCCCCCTGCCATGGGCAGGGACACCTCCCGGTAGCCCAGGTTGCTCAAAGCCTCAACCAGCCTGGCCTTGGACACCTCCAGGGATGGGGCATCCACAGCTTCTCTGGGCAACATTATTTATCCTAATTTGTTCCTGTAAAAATCTTGTCCACCAGCCTAACTAACACTTTAGTCTCCCAGGTATTTATTTGCTAAGGTATTTATGGGAGAAAAGCATGGGTGACAAACTGCTGCCTTCAGTGGGTGGCTGACCCTCATCAGCCCCACAATGTGAGGGAGCAAACAGCAGACACCTGTGAGGTGGAAAAACCTCCCCCATGAGGGGACTGGCCCTGCTCCTTTTGCTGATGGGCTGAGCCAGAGCACAAAGTGGCCGAATGTCCTGGTTTCAGCTGGGACAGAGTTAACTTTCTTCACAGCAGCCAGTGAGAGGCTCTGGTTTGGATTTGTGCTGAGGAGAAGCTGATCACACACTGATGGTTCGAGCTGCTGCCAGGACAGTCAGGGACTTTCCAGTGTCTCTGCTGTTCCAGTGCCTGCAGGGGCAGGAGAAGCTGGGAGGGAGCACAGCCCCAGTTACTAGCCCAGGATTCAACCTCAGGTTTAGAATTGAGACTCAAAGCAGCCAATGGTCTATTCCATATCATACACATCATGCCCAGTAGATTGGTGAGGCTCTGTCTGGAAGGGCGCTCTCTTACTCCGGGTTGTCTCCCTCCGGACCGCTCCCCTCTCAGGGTCATCTCTGTATCTCAGACACTAAGTTATCTCCGTTCCGGGAGTACAGTTTTGGGACTCTCCCTGCTCTGGGATCATTAGCTGGGAACAGGCTGAGCCTTGGTCATTGTGTGGTGAGAGGTATCACTGTGTATCACTCATTTATATATTTGTCTATATTACTATTATCATCATTATTATTATTTCCAATATTATTGTAGTTTAATTATTAAATTGTTTTTTATCTCAACATGAGTCTCTTTTCCCTTCACCCCTCTGGTTCTCTCCTCTATCCCCATAAGGGGGGAGGATGAGTGAGTGGCTGGTGTGTGAAAATACCCGAAAACC